GTGCAATTAAGAAAGATGGACAAGGAGAAAATGTCTAAATACCTTTTAAATGAGATTTGAAAAAGCGATGGAGGGGCAATGAGGTGTAAAGATAAGACAAAGGCAAACTTCCAGATTTCCAGATAAACAAGCAGACATCATTCACACCCAATGAACTAGTGATGCAGAGAGGCCATCAAACCTCATAAGGAGCAATGCTTCCCCCTCAAACGTTAATTATAGAAGGAAGTCTAGTCCTTGTCTGGTATATAGCTAGTTAGATTTCTAGTTTTCCATCTCACTGCTCTAAGGAATCATTTGTGTTGGCTCAAGCCACCAGAGACTAATGGATATTCCCCACTCCATAAACCAGCAACCACATTCATGTGTTTCTACAGAGAGGCTGGGGAGAAGAACACATATGTATGGCTTTCTACATAACCAAAACTATCATCAACACTGATGGTGATACACTCCCATGTAAACCAAATAGATATACATATTTCTAAAGTGCTGGTCACCTTAATATGTAGGCAAATATTTATCTGATCGGGTAGTGAGTTTTGCACCAAAAATGAAAAACTCCAACCTTCAGCTTCAGTGGAACAAATCCCTGTTTGACAGTAAATTTTTTTTAAGACAGAGCCTGCTGTGTCACCCAGGCTGGAGTGCAGTGGAACCATCTCGGCTCACTACAACCTCCACCTCCCCAGTTCAAGTGATTCTCCTGCCTCAGCCTCCTGAGTAGCTGGGATTACAGGTTCATGCCACCATGCTCAGCTAATTTTTGTATTTTTAGTAGAGACAGGGTTTCACCATGTTAGTCAGGCTGGTCTCAAACTCCTGACCTCATGATCCGCCCACCTCAGTCTCCCAAAGTACTGGGATTACAGGCTTGAGCCACCATGCCCAGACTAACAGTAAATTTTTTAAAACCTGCTTTGGTCTTTAGGTCTGCTAAGATTCCTAGGACGATGAAACGTAACTGGCTGCCCAGGCCCCAGATTGGGTTGGGTAGATTGTTTGTGGCTCCTTCTTTCTGCTAAAAATGCCAGCTTTCAGCCATTTTACTATTCATCAGCAACTCCATCAAGGAAACTTTTTATTAATACTCAGACGTTTTACCTCAAAAGATTTCAAGTAACACCAAAGGAAAAGATAGAAGAAAATAAGCAAAACAATCAGTTTATTTTCCTCATGTTTAAAAAAGTCTAAAAGAATATTGAAATTGTGGATATAATTTATTTTGGCTTTGACCAACTAAAAAGTTTAATCACTGATTAAAGCTGAGATATCATATTCAACTCAAGATAGCAGGCACTCAATGACACTGTTTTCTACTGAACTAAGAAGGCCATTCACATTTAAATATAAAGAAAAGAATATATATATATAAATATATATATATATATGTAATATGGAAAAAGATGAAAAATCGAATTATATTATTTTGAATTATATCCCAAGCCCCATGAAATTAGCACCAGAATAAAAGGAATTCTTGGTAATTCTAGTTTATTTTTATAAAATTCACATTTCTGTCCTTGTGGCTTTTTGGTTGATATATATTTGTGAGGGGGAGTTGTTTGTTTGTTTGTTTTGCCAGGGCCTGGCTCTGTTGTCCAGGCTGGAGTGTGGTATCACAGTATATACTTCACTGCAGCCTCAGACTCCTGGGCTCAAACAATTCTCCCATGTCATTGTCCCAAGTAGCTGGGACTACAGGCATGTACCAGCATACCTGGATTATTTGTTTATTTACTTTTTATAGACAAGGTCTTGCTATGTTGCCCAGGCTGGTCTCAAACTCCTGGTCTCAAATGATCCTCCCACCTTAGCCTCCCAACGTGCTGCAATTACAGGTGTGAGCCGCCATAGCTGGCTTTTGCTTGTCTTCTGTTGTGTGTGTTTTTTGTTCTCTGCTGAGTTTCAGAAAATTCAAAGATGATGATGGCTGAAAATTTTGCTCTGTAGCCTAGAACCTAAAGGTTGGCATAACCAAATTTACATGGCAAAGCAAAACTCCAGTTGCAGTGGCCCTCTGACATACTCAGGCTACTTTTGTAATTTCTAATTCAGGAATAGCAAGTTACTCTCAGTTTAAAGCATTAACTCACCTACTGTAGAGCAAGCCTAAGTGCTGTTATGAAATGAAATGAATCTAGACAATTCCTGTGCCTGAATCAACATGAAGGGAGTTGGATCTGCCTGAACAAGGATCCTCTGAAATTCAGGAATAGTCGCTTTCCAACACTGTGGAGAAATCACCATTGTTTTTGGTGGTGAATGGAGGTGACAGATGGCACTTAACCTTTCTTTTTTTAATAAAACACTTTGTGAACAAGTCATCATTTTAAAGAGACATAATGCCTCGTTTTTATTGTTTTTTTCCTCAAGATAATAAATGACAATTTCACTTTTTAGCCCCTCTCTAGGGCTTAAAGAAAGTTGCAAGATGGAAGCCATGAGCATAAAAGCTTCATGGTAGCTGTGAAAAGCAGCAATCTTTCAGCCACTGGAGGAAGCAATGTGTGTTTGGAGCTCCCACAAAAGCTTCATCCCCAGACGCTTGTCACCATTTGACCTTCTGAGAGCTGACTGAAAAGCTCCACTCTTGAGCCTGTCTTTATTTGACATGACTCAGATCTCACTCTCTGCAAGCAGCCCTGTCTACAAGGCATTTGTCAAAAACAATCAATGCCAATTGTTTAACATTGTGGCTGCCTGAGGCAGTATTGCAACTGTAGCCAAAAAGAGGCTGACCAAGAAAACCTAAGAGGAAAAACCAGGAAATGAGATGCTCATACAGGCTTTAAAAAGCCTAAATATTACTAAGAGTCAAGAAAGTCATGTAAATGAGCAGGGCTGTGTTCGTAAACCAGGACTGTGCATGTGCCCAGAAACATCTAAGAAGACCATGATCTCTCACCCCTGCTAACTTTGAGGCCCTCCTCAAACAGAAAGTGAAGTCTAAGACAGACTTGTAAATCACCTGTCATGGCATTGAGGGTGTGCTCTAACACAAATACAGATACACACAGAGAGAGACAGAGACAGAGAGATAGAGAGAGAGTGAGAGAGTTCTTCAGCAAAGGCTGAGAGCCTTATTGGCTCAAAGTAATTAAGTAAATCTCTATGAAATCATTAGCTAATCAGTAAGCTAATCAAGCAGAGACTTCAGTGGCCACATACACCCTTACAGATTTTACAGAGACTTTACAGAATACTGGCCCAGAAACATCACTTAATAAACAAACCAACAGGAACAACAAAAACTCTTGGGGATGGGAGAGGAGTGAAGAGGAATGTGATTTCCAAAGTTGTCACATTATATAATTTCAATTGTCAAATTTCAACAACACTACCAAAAAGCTACAAGCAATGCAAAGAATGGGAAAGTATGACATTTGTTTTTAAAAATCAGTAGTAGAAGCTGTCCCTAAGGAAGCCCAGATGTTGGACTTAATAGACTATGATTTTAAAATACATTTTCCTGGATTACATGATAACAACATAATCATAAGAGTTCTTAAAAGCAGGAGGGAGAACAAAAGAAGTGGTCAGAGTGATGCAATGTGAGAAGGATTCAACCTCCTGTTGTTGCCTTTGATGATAAAAGAAAGAAGCCAAAAGCCAAGGAATGTGGGCAGGCTCTAGAGGCTGAAAAAATGCAAGGAAACAGATTCTCCCATAGCCCTGTCAGGCTGCTGACACTTTGATTACAGCTCAATGAGACCTGTGTCAGACGCCTAACCTTCAGACCCACAGATGGCAAATTTGTATTATTTCACACCACAAAGTGTATAGTAACCTGTTACAGCAACAACAGAAAACCTGTTATGAATAAGCCAGGCACAGAAAGACAAACGTCACGTGTTCTCACTCGTATGTGGGAGCTGAAAAAACTGATCTCATGGAGGTAGAGAGTAGAATGATGGTTACCAGAGTCTGGGAAGGATGTGAATTGGTTAAGGGGCACCAACGTACAGTTAAATAGAAGGAACAAGTTCTACTAGTCAATAGCAAGGTAGGGTGACTATAGCTAACAATAATTTATTATATATTTCAAAAGAGCTAGAAGAGAAGATTTGAAATGTTCCCAACTCAAAGAAATGATAAGCATTTGAGGTGACGGATGTCCCAAATACCCTGATTTGATCATTACACATTACATGCATGTATCAAAAGATCACATGCACCCCACTAATATGTACATTCATTATGTATCATTAAAAATTTTAAGTAAAAAAAAGTAAAATTAATTTTGCTAATGTATTTTATGGCAGGGCTCACACCTGAATCCTAGCACTCTGGGAAGCTGAAGCAGGCAGATTACTTGAGCCTCGGAGTTTGAGTCCAGTCTGGGCAACATGGTGAAACCCAGTCTCTACAAAAAATACAAAAATTAGCCAGGCATGATGGTGCACACCTGTGGTCTCAGATACTCGGGAGCCTGAGGTGGGAGGATCACCTAAGTCAGGGAGGTCGAGGCCACAAGGAGCTATGATCTGTGCCTCTGCACTCCAGCCTAGGCAACAGAGTGAGACCTCGTCTCAAAAAATATACATATATTTTGTATTTTACCCAATATATCAAAAATATCATTTCAATAGGAATCAACATAAAAATGATTAAGGTGATGATTTACATTTTTAAGAAGCCAATTACAGATTTTGGCAATGAGAGTGGAGTACTGATGTAACAAATACCTGAAAGTGTGGAAGTGACTTTTGACTTGGGCAGTGGAAAAAGGCTGGAAATATTTTTAGGAGAATGATAGAAAAATCCTAGATCACCATGAACAGGCGGAGAGTCAGGGTATTTAGTCATATGTCACAAAAAAGATTAAGTGTGTGACTAATAAATCTCTTCAGCCATCTCAGGAGAAGCCAAAAATAAAGATACGATTGTCTAAGAAAGATTTTGGAGGGCTCTCTTGTCTAATGGAGCAAATCTCCAGTGCATGTGATGTATACTAGAGACCTACAAGGTTCTTGGGAATTTTAAATACGAGCAGAAACATTGTCTTTGTAGTACACATTTGTAGTACCAGACAGTCCTCTGCACAAAGCCATATATGCAACACTTCAAAGCAAAGACTTTGAGGCATGCAGGCTTAAGTTCCCATCCTGATCCTTCCGTATATAAGCTGCACAACTCACGCCATATCTCTGAAATTCACCTCCAGCCACTGGAAAATAGAATGTAATAGCAGTAATTACTTCTCATGATATTTGTAAAGGTTAAATACAAAAGGTGCAACTATAGCACTAAGTTCTGTGCCCATACACAGTAAAATATTTGATAAGAATTCATGAAGTATACTAACAAATAATTATTAGTCTTACTATTATCATGGAATAGGAAGAAAAAGCAGCAGCAATATAGAAATCAATCATCACTCTTGAAGTGGGGAGAATAAATTTTAAACTGCACCTCTTTACTAACAAACTGTGAGTAGAAAAAAAACTGCTTAAGAATTTGATCAGTCTGGGCAACATAATGACACCCTGTTTCTACAAAAATTTTAAAATTAGCCAGGTGTGGAGGTACACATCTGTAGTCCTACCTACTTAAGATACTGAGGAGGGAGGATCCCTTGGCCCAGGAATCTGAATTTGCAGTGAGCCATGATCATGCCACTGCACTCCAGTGTAGGCAAAAGTGAGACTCTGCATCCAAAGGGGAAAAAATAATGATTGTCAAGAATTTGATTTTCTTTCTCCAAAAATTTGGAGAACTTTTACCAGTTGTTCATATCACATTTCCTGAAGGCCAGGAGAGAGAATAACCCAGTGACAGATTTGCAGGCTATGAAAGTTGAGGCCTGGAGTTCTTCCTGATTGGGAGATTGAAATGAGCCTAGATTACTGAATAAAAGAGCAGAAATTTGGGGAGTTGTCTCTGAGTAACTCCAAGGTTGCAGGAGCCCTGGAAACTGAGGAAAGGGAGACGATGAGCTCTCCAGCTACTGAAGAAAGTCCAGAAATATTTAAACAGTTTAGGGCCCTTAGCCAGACTATAGTCAGTAAAATGTGCCCTGTGATGGCAAGTAGTTAGTAAACTCTGTTTGGAAAAATCATGTCTCATGTCAACTTTGACTTCCTTGTTCTGACCTGCAATCATTCTATGATCCCTAAAACTTTCTTCTTCTTTTTTTTTTTTTTTTGAGACAGAGTCCAGCTCTGTCACCCAGGAGGTGCAGTGGTGCAATCTCAGCTCACTGCAACCTCCACCTCCCAGGTTCAAGCCATTCTCCTGCCTCAGCCTCCTGAGTAGCTGTGATTACAGGTACACGCCATCATGCCTGGCTAATTTTTGAATTTTTAGAGACAAGGTTTCACCATGTTGGCCAGGCTGGTTTTGAACTCCTGACCTCAAATTATTCACCCGCCTTGGCCTCCCAAGTCACTGGGATTACAGGCATGAGCCAACACGCCCGGCCCCTAAAACCTTCCCAGCAGTCTATTGTGCACAGTGCCTTGTCAGTTGTGCATGAGGTAATGGGGAAGCAGGGGCTGGGACTGATCTGGCAGCTTGTGGGCAAGGAAAAGCCAGAAGCCAAGGAACAGGAGATTGGTGAGGAGAAAATAAAATAAAAGAGCTAATATGAATTAAGAGTTAAAAAGTCAAAAGAGAATGGAAGCTGTAACAGGAATCCTAGAAAGTACTGGGGAGGGCACTAGACCAGCAACATGTAATGGGATGAAAGCTTCAGTTGTGCTGTTTGGAACAGCTGCTAAAGAAAATATGAAAGCTGGAGGATTCAGGGATGCTATGATTACCATTGTTAATTCACATGTCGGCTACTAACTTAAAATTTTTTGTCATTGTTCACTTTTTTTTTTTTTTTTTTTACGGAGTCTCACTCTGTTGCCCAAGCTGGAGTGCAGTGGCGTAATCTCATCTCACTGCAACCTTCACCTCCGGGGTTCAAGGGATTCTCCTGCCTCAGCCTCCTGAGTAACTGGGACTACAGACGCGTGCCACCACGCCTGGCTATTTTTTGTATTTTTAGTAGAGACAAGGTTTCACAGCATTAGCCAGGATGGTCTCGATCTCCTGACCTGGTGATCTGCCTGCCTCAGCCTCCTAAAGTGCTGGGATTACAGGCATGAGCCACCGTGCCCGGCCCTCAACTGTTCACTTGTATTTGGTCAGATCCAATGACAAAATGTTAGCTAAGAATCCTGAGTTTGGAAGTTAAAATTTATCAGGATATTTTACTTAAAACGTGAACACGGTGATTATTTGATCAAAATACTTTAAATAAGTGCAAAAGTACAAACCAGAAACTAAGAACTATTTTAAAGGATCCTACAATATATTGAAAGCATGCCAGGCATGGTGGCGCACATCTATAATCTCAGCACTTTGGGAGGCTGAGGCTGAAGGATCACTTTAGCCCAGGAGTTCAAGACCAGCCTAGGCAAGATGGTGAGACCCAGTTTCTACAAAAATTTAAAAATTAGCCAGGCATGGTGGTATGCACCTGTAGTCCCAGCTACTCAACAGGCCAAGGCAGAAGGATCACTTGAGGCCAGGAATTCGAGGCAGTGAGCTGTGATCATGCTACCACACTCCAGTCTGGACAATAGCAAGACTCTGACTCAAAAAAAATAAAGTAAAAACTAATATGTATATATGTGTGTGTATATACATGTATTTATATATGTGTGTATAGGGAGAAAGAGAGAAAGAAAGCAAGCAATATTGATGTAGGAATCAGCCTAAGTCATTGCAAATTCCAGTTTTACTGCTTTGTGTGAATTGGAAAACTCACTTAAGCTGGCAAACTTCCATGAGTCTTCTCTGTTGTGAGGACAAGGAAGCTCCAGTCCTTGTCAGGCTGGACATGTACAACCCTCCCACCTGACCCCACCATTCATTCATCAGTGGGCTCCCTCCATTACTGATGCTGCCATCTCTTTAACCCTCTTGGATTTTTTTGGACTCTCCAAAATCCCCTGTGTTTTTTTTTTTACTTTAACATCCCTTAAGAGTCTGGGCCTGGCTCACTCATTCAGTTTCTGCAGCTCCTTCACTCCACCCCTCCCCATTGCCTTGGACGTGGACTTCCTACTGCAGACACCATCCCTTGCCACTGCACCTGCTCATGCCCAAGAAGCCCAGCCTCAGGAAGTAGACAAGATTTTGACAATAACACCCACCACGAGGTTCCCATGATAATCAAATGAAATCATGTCTACAGAAGTTTTGTATAAAAATAAAGCTTTAGAACATGATTTTGTATTAGTCGTCACAAAAAGATGCCTAAATATCCCATGTTGTTATATTAAGTCCTTCCAGCTTGGATTTAAATATATATATGCTAATCTAGATAGTGTGCTTTCAGTTGCTATTTCTCTAGTGATGACATTCTCAACAGAATCCTCCTTAACCAAGATTTTAGCACCTTAGTCCAGGACATAAGTTCTACTAGATGGTTCCAGGTGCCAAGTCATTTGGTAGCTGTAACTGAGCAACCCAGCATCCCTGAGGTTTGTGTAAAGTTGATGTACTGGTGTATTCTAAATAAGAAACAGAATTTTGCCAATCATTGAAAGTTAAAATAGCTGGGCATGGTGGCTCATGCTTGTAATTCCAACATTCTGGGAGGCTGAAGGAGGCGGATTGCTTGATCCCAAGGGTTCAAGACCAGCCTGGAAAACATGTCAAAATCTTGTCTCTATAAAAAACACAAAAATTAGCAGGCATGGTGGCTCATGCCTATGGTCCCAGCTACTCAGGAGGCTGCAGTAGGAGGATTATTTGAGCCCCAGGAGGCGGAGGCTGCAGTGAGCTAAGATCCCACCACTGCACTCCAGCTTGAGTGATAGAGTGAGACTCTGTCTCAAAAAGAAAAAGTTAAAATTATTTTAAAATTGACAAGAAATTTAGTATTAAATTCATTACTGGAAAAAAAAAATAGTCAACGTAGCAATTGTAGAGGGCAATTGTGAGCCCTTTCTGCTAAGTCTATCCTCACAGACTCTGGTTAGCTGGTTTCATTAAGCCTGTCTTTTCTACCCAAACACTGTCCCGTCTGTCAGTTACAGTCACTGGATGACTCAGTCACAAAAGCTCCCTGTCATTTCTGGACAGGATTCCGACAGCTTCCAGAGCATCAAGTCTGTCACTAACACTTGCTTCTCTCCATCCTACATAAGATTATATTAACTTAACCAGGCTAGAGACCTTCTTGTTCTGTTAAAATCAACCTCTAGGCCAGACCTGTCCTCGCTGAGTGTTTCTGCAGGGTCCACTTCAAGGCCTCTCCTTCCTGCTCCCTCTCAGCTGCCTCAGCCAGTGACTCAGTTCATGGTAGTCACGCTCAAGAACACACACAAAAAATGTTTCCCTCGGTTAACACTCCATTAGCTTTGGAGGTGAATTACTTTAGAGGTATGCTTCTGCTAAATTGTAACTGGCACATTCAGGTCAATTTCCCCTCCTCTATCTATTCTGACATATTTCTCTCTGGGGCAGTAAGAACTGCCACTTCGCTCTCAGAGCCACCCCCTGTGCAGAGAATACCTCAGCCAGGTGACTGCTGGAGCTACCCAGGTTGAGGAACATTCCAAGCTATCTCCCTTGAAGAACACCCACCCCATGCTCACACAGCACTAAGGTGCATCATGGTTATTTTCCACACAGAGGATACCCTGGGACCTTTTGCTGATTTCTATAGGAATAACACAATATGTGTTAGTGTTTGCTAATAATAATTAAGCTTAGGTAACTAGCCCATGTAGGATATCATGTAAAATTGACTGGACTTGTAAACTAACTGGAAATGGAGATGAGAGAGGTTTTTTATAAGGTTGAGTAGAGTGAGGAGGCGGGTGGTGAAGCCTTTGCATGAAAACGGAATTTCAGGGGTGGGAGGAGGATGGGAGAGGGATTGAAAGGTGGAGAAGCAGGGAATAGCAGGGAATGAAATTGATTTTAGGTAAGTTGTGTTTGAGATACCTACAAAATGAGAATTGAGAACTGAAATGTAAAAGAAAGGTAGAGGCAGGAGAAACTGATTTGAGAATGGTCATCCTAAGGGATGGTTCCTGAAGCCAGGGAAGTAGTTGAGAATTGCATTAAAAAAGAAGACAGAGGGAAAAAGAGAAAGCTAATCTGTAAGACACGTTGCCATGCTTCTTTTGTCTGTCCCCTTTTGGGCACAAGTCTATTTATGGAAGAATGAGTAAGTGTTGTGACTAGAGAGAGCTTAGGATGGACGGAGAGACAGCACGGTAACACGAACAAAACTGAGGAGGGCGCGTTTCAGTTAAGGAAGTCCTTATTTTCTCAGCTTTATCATTAGAAGTTAAGCCTTTCTCTTAACACCAACCAGGAATTTAGTAGTAAATTAATTCCCAGAATATGGAACAGCATAGCAATTGTGGAGAGAAATTCCGAGCACTTTATGTTAGGTCTACTCTCATACCCAGTAAAGTACACAAGTCAGGCTAAAACCGTCTGCATCACCCATGCCCCCACAAAGTTATTTATTCACACTGGACGAGGAAGCTTAGTAATCTACGAGACAGATCTGGGAAACACAATTTTACTCTAAGTGTGGTTAGACAATAAAAACCCAATTTATTATTTTCTACAAGATCTCAGAAAAGCCCACATAAATTTTTGCATGCAAGCATTGGTCATTTTCCCCATGATAACAAAATCTAGATTGGAAATTTTAACTTTCACTTTAAAGTTATTCAACTGTATTCAATACCAGCAGCAAGAAATTTGGTTTCTACCTGCTATGTATAAATCATATGGTAAATTTCTGGAATTACAACAGTCTTGTGTCTAGGTTAAGTCCATGCTTGTATTACCCAATAAAAACCACAGATTGCTAGTTCAGTTTCTGCTTCATCTCACTGGACACTCAAGGTTCTCCCACATGGGCCTTTTTGCCAAGCCCTACAACAATTCGGTAGAGTCTCACTGAAAATTGCTATTCTGTGCATCTCCTTTTGTTAATATGACTGTAACAGAAA